CCGTGACGCTCCATGTTTCTCTTCCTCCCTGCGTTCCCGCGTCGCCTCACCTATTTTGAAATCCCGTTTTTGCAGAATTGCTAACTAAGGATTATGGTTGCCTTAAATGGGCCTACTAGCTTGGTTATAAATTGGAAAACACAATGCCCAGGTGAATTACTCCAATAAATCCTATTCTTCTTCCTCTGTTAGGTGGCTTATGGAATTCTTTTTCCATTTTGGTTGTAACTCTTTTAGTAGAAAGAGAGAGATAGAGAGGAAGAAGAGAGAGAGGAAGTGAGAGAGGATGGGAGAGAGAAAAAAGTGTGTTTTCTTTAAAACATCGAGGCGTTCGACGGTGTAATTCCTCAAAGTAATAAAACCCTCTGCAGCTCTGTGGACATAGGTAATTTGTCGAACCACGTAAAATCTGTGTGTTTCCGTTGTGCTTTTATGTTTTGCGATTTTTCTTGATTCAATTTTTCCCTTTATTGACGTTGTTCTTTCACAACACAATTAAAATTGCTCAAGTTTTTGAGAAAAATGTACCAAAAAATCGTTCACTCAAGTTGATCATGTTTTGATTATACAAGAGAGAAAAATTAAGATATATAAAAAAGTTCCTTTGATATGATGTTCAAAAAGCACTCCACAGCGTTTGTCATTTTAGATTCCCTTTTCTAGATCAACCTCTCTTAGAAATTTAAAGAAAGAAACAAAAGCTAAAAAGGAACAAAAAGAGTAGCTACAAGAATATTATATAGAAATATTCTCATAGCATAAACCAAATAATAGCAATCTAATGATCTACCCGAGAAAATATACAAAAAAATATCCTATATAATGATCTTCATAACCAAACCATAATATCAAATCAAATTTTTATTCTTCATTCAAAACGGCCTACCTCGACGACGTATTGTCATGGTCAATTACATCATAGGGTTTACCCATAAAAACTCATGATAAGAGATGTGTTTGCCAAGATTGTCTTGAAAGTATGCTGACAAGGAGATTTGATCGGTCCCTGTAAGGGAAACCTCTAACTTTAAAGGTGAAACTAGACACCCAGGCAAATGGTGAATCACTGTAACTTGACGGGTAATCACCACTTAGACGAGAGAGTCTGTGAAATAAGCCCACTAAAACTTGACAATGGGAACGAGTGTCCAAAGGGGATATATTATCATATAAGTCAGAGAAAATCTTGACAGATAGAGAAAGCCTGGTTGAAGCTCCATGGGCTCATCCTTCCGAACAATTCTACTAGGTTGTGAAGGTAGGATCACGTCGTTGGTAACCCATGCGTTGTATCATGACCTTAAGTCAAATTAAAGAAACATTAAATTTCTATGATTCTATTTGGATCAAAGTTGTGGAGTGAGGATTATACATTCCAAGAGCATCGATAAGAGGACTGCAGAGAAGAAAAGGAAAAAGAGTGATCCAACTATAAAGCTAAATCATTTAATCAAGGACTCACACCTCGCTTGGGTCGGAGAGTCTCTAACATCCTGTACTGGCAAGATGAGACCTTGTGTATAAATCATAAATTGGGCCAGTTAGACGGGAAAACAAGACCACTCCTCTCTAGATATGAAATATGAATGCAATTATCTAAGGCATCTTTTTGATATGTTGGGCAATAATGATGTTTTGCATTTTGTGTGATACAAGCTTTTTAATCCTCTCTAGATATGTTGGGCAATAATAATGTTTTGCATTTTGTACAATATTGAACTTAAAAAGCTCATTCTAACATTTATTTTCAATTTTATAGATATAATGAGATTAGAATCATGTTTGATATTTTTTTTTATGTGCCAACAACTCAAACATTAAATATATATATATTTAATCACCCAAAATTTAAATGTAACATTTTAAAATCATTTAACCAATAACTTACACCTTGTTTTGGTCGGGGAGTCTCTAACATCCTGTATTGGGAAGACGAGACCCTAAGTGTATAAATCTTAAGATGGGCCAGTTAGATAGATATATATATAGGAATAACTTGATATATATATATATATATGTATATATAATCATAAATTGGGCCAGTTAGACGGGAAAACAAGACCACTCCTCTCTAGATATGAAATATGAATGCAATTATCTAAGGCATCTTTTTGATATGTTGGGCAATAATGATGTTTTGCATTTTGTGTGATACAAGCTTTTTAATCCTCTCTAGATATGTTGGGCAATAATAATGTTTTGCATTTTGTACAATATTGAACTTAAAAAGCTCATTCTAACATTTATTTTCAATTTTATAGATATAATGAGATTAGAATCATGTTTGATATTTTTTTTTATGTGCCAACAACTCAAACATTAAATATATATATTATATTCACTCATTCTAACATTTGTTTTCAATTTATAGTTAGTTATATTGAGATTAGAATAATGTTTGAAATTTTAATTTTTTTTTGTTTTTATGTTCCAACAACTCAAAACATTAAATATAATTATTTAATCACCCAAATTTTAAATGCAACGTTTTAATCACCCAAATCCTTTACTCCAAAACCTCATTAATGGGTATAGGAGGGTGGTTGTAAACCCTCATGAATTTCCAAGTGAAATTTTTTTGTAGTTAAAACATTACATTCAGGGGTGGTAGGTACACATTTTAAACAGAATTTATGGTAGAATTTAACATAAATCTAGTCAAACGAAAACAAACAAGGAGTTAAATCTGTCTTTCTTGCAAATCCTAATTTTTGTCCATTTGACGCAAATACTCAATTTATTAAAACCTATTCTTAAATGAGTCTAACGAATTTAAGTGATGAGGAAAAACACCAATGGGTTGTTGCTTCCCTCAACACCAAACACCATTTGGATTTGATACATCAAAATTTATTAACTTTCCTAAATCCTATTTAAGTTTTAAACCTGGGTGCAACCAATCTCCCTGTTAATATTTAGAGTATTTGATATGTAAAAACCTATTTTTTCAATGTACAATTCAAACCTCAATTTAAAATTAAATTTACAGTAGGGTTCTCATTTCCTCTTTGGGAATATGCTGATCAGGAATGTATTTTTTGAGCTAATTTGGCAATTGAATTTCCCACAACAAACTGGCTCTATAGCCGCGCAAAATAGGAAAATATTTTACATCCGCAGTCCGAACGCAGCTCTGTGTGTGGAGTTCCAATAATATGTCACCACGTGGTTATTGAAATTAAACCGTGGAGATTATTAAGGGGGTTATTGCGAGGTCAATACATGGGTCATTGAAGTAGAACCGCGAAGTTTATTGTAAGGGTTATTGTCGCGGGTTATTGATGTGAAACCACGGAGGTTATTAGTGATTATTGCAGCGTGTTATTGGAGTGGAACCGTGAAATTTATTGAAGAATTATTGAGAGGTTGTTGAGGCGTTATTGAAGTTAATGTCTCAATAATCCCCCAAAAAAAACCTCCCTAATAAGATCTAACCATGGCAGCCTAACTCAAATGTAAAATTTTCATAAATAGAATGTATGGTCGCCGGAAGCGTTTTTGTGTGAGAGAAAGGTGCCCAGATGTCTATGGGAGAGGACGGAAGGAATGTCCTGGAGACGGGGAGAGCGGACCGCTCGGTGTGGCTAATGAAGTGCCCGACTCTGGTATCGAAGTCGTGGCAGTCCACTGCTGCGCTGTCGTCGTCGGATTCCGGCATCGCCAAGGTCGTGCTCTCCCTCGACCCCGTCCACAACGATGAGCCCAACGCGCTCCAGGCAAGGGATTTGCGTCGATCTCTAAACGAACGATTTATTTTGCCCGGGATTATTGGTCTTCTTCAGCTCTTTCGATTAGATGTTCTTTGATGATCCGCTCTTGTTATTAGGGTTCTTTTTTTTATATAATCTATACGATTTGGTTGTAGCGTTAGAAAGATTCTTCGATTAGAATGCCCTAGGCACTCACAGCTTATAGAAGCTTTGGAGTATATAGACTAGAAGGGTGTCATTTATATTGTTTAAAATAGAAATTCCTGGATTGTAGTGTTTCAAATGCCATTCAGGGTGTGTGGGCAGATTATTAGAAATAGCTGGGTTTCGAGATTTATGTTTGATATAGAAATTGGGAATCCTTCCTTTCTTTGGAGTTGGGGAAGATTATCGTGCAATTAAAGTGAAGGTCATAGTTGGGGTTGAGATTTTGTGATACGGGATAGATTAATTGACTGTTGTTTACAATCTTTGTTGTTTTCTGCATTTTACCTTTATGCAAGCTGTAGTGCTCTTGAAATTTGAAACTAAGGATATTTGTCCGAAGAGAAGACGAAAACATGGATGGTGGGGATTTGAAGCTACCATGAAAAGGGATTAATTGTCAAATGTTTATCAGTCAATAACTATTCGTGTTATGTTGATTTAGAAAGACATTGTTTGCTAGAATATCTTTTTCGCATATTCAAAATGATGAATGGTCGGTAACAATTTTTCTTACCTTTATTACAACAACAACAACAACAAAGCCTTAATCCCACTACGTGGGGTCGGCTAAATGAATTCTTTTTCTCCATTGCGTCCTATTTAGTGTCATATTTTCATTTAGTTCTAGTAAATTAAGATCATTTTTAATACAATAAGCCCAAGTCTTCCTAGGTCTACCTCTGCCTTTCTTAACACAAGTCGAATTTAAAGCATCTACTCTCCTAATCGGATCATCTAATGGTCGACGTTTAATATGACCAAACCATCTAAGACGACTTTCTCTAATTTTGTCTGTCACAGGAGCTACACCAACCCTATCACGAATATATTCATTCCGCATTTTGTCTCTAAGTGTAAAGCCACTCATCCACCTAATCATTCTCATCTCGTCAACACTTAACTTATTATTATGCTTCTCTTTTAAAGGCCAACATTCAGCGCCATAGAGCATTGCAGGTCTCACCACCATCTTATAAAATTTTCCTTTCAGTCTTAGCGGTACTTTTCTATCACACAAAAGGCCCGAAGCATTCCTCCACTTCAACCAACCAACTTGAATTCTACTATTAACATCCCCATCTATATCACCATCGCTTTGGACAAAGGGCCCAAGATATCTAAATCGTTCACACCTTTTAATAATTTGATCACCCAAAGTCACACTTCTGTCACTAGAGCTATTACTACTAAAATTACATTCCATGTATTCAGTTTTAGTTCTACTTAAACGAAGGCCTTTAGACTCCAATGTAGACCTCCATAA